GAGTTTTATGGCACTAACACAGTAGGGTCATACAAGTGCCCAAAATCAGAGGTGTTACCGGGGTTACCGGGGAGTAGCAAAAACAAAAAAGGAGGAGAGATAAGGACGACAGATGTTTGATAGGAAAGAAGGGGCAAACCACACCACAGCACCCGCTACCCACCCACGAATTTTTGGTCACTAGATACCTGATCAGTTGGAATTTTTACAGTAAGACGACGTGATACAGTGATTATAAAAGTAAGACCACATGATATGTGAGGCAGCATGGTAAAATCAGGCGCTCGTCAAAATAATGAAATCAAATATACCACCAGCATTTTTCTGCACGTTGACCATTTTTATAGAAATTTTATTTTTTCGCTCAGCACTTTTTATATAAATGAAAACACATTTCCACGTGAATTTTATCGAAAAATGTCGATTAAAGTCACATAATATGTCATTTTTCAGTTTTGAAGGACTCACAAGCTATTGAAGTTACCAAACTTTGGCGGCCATTTTCTTGCTAATCTTACCTTTGACAACAAGCGACTCTCACATCCTTCAATCATAAATATCACAACTTCTATTCAAGATAGCAGGGCATTTGAAAAGGCTTTATGAAGATACCAATAACTCTTCATATATGCCAAAAACATTGACGAGCGCCTGATTCCACCACATCGTGTCATATAGGGCAAAAACACATGAGACACCTGTCCATTGTGCAGCGGAGGAACCCCAAGATTTGGAGCACTGGCTGCAGAGATCCCCCGCCACGGAGGTTCAGCGGAGGCATCTCTTCGGAGAGGATTCGGGGAGGTTGGACTGCCTCACCCGCTACCCAAGAGAGGCGGTGGCCCTGGTAAAAAGCACGCTCCTCGGGGCTCCAAACATTTCGAACGGATAGGCTACCACACACACACACACACACACAGGAGACAGTAAGAACTTATGTTGCAGTGTTGTTCCATACCTTGTATACAGGGACCCCCAGAAGCCTATAGCCAGGTGTACGGGCAGACCAAAGGCGAAGTAGTAAACCCAGTTGTTCTCTATCTGGGCCACTCGGGTGTGCCCTGGTATACCTGCAGGGGGAAAAAAAGGCATGAAATGTTTGTTACAGCTCTTTGAAATCAGTATGTGTGTGGATAAAATATTTGTTACAGCTCTTTGAAATCAGTAGGTGTGTGGATAAAATATTTGTTATAGCTCTTTGAAATCAGTATGTGTGTGGATAAAATATTTGTTATAGCTCTTTGAAATCTGTATGTGTGTGGATAAAATATTTGTTATGGCTCTTTGAAATCAGTATGTGTGTGGATAAAATATTTGTTATAGCTCTTTGAAATCAGTATGTGTGTGGATAAAATATTTCTTTTAGCTCTTTGAAATCAGTATGTGTGTGGATAAAATATTTCTTTTAGCTCTTTGAAATCAGTATGTGTGTGGATAAAATATTTGTTATGGCTCTTTGAAATCAGTATGTGTGTGGATAAAATATTTGTTATAGCTCTTTGAAATCTGTATGTGTGTGGATAAAATATTTGTTATAGCTCTTTGAAATCTGTATGTGGGTTGTTGTTTTTTTAAATATAAGTGTTTCTTACACCCCCATCAAAACAATTTAGATCATTAAGGAGGCCAGCTTCTGACTCTGCTCGTGAGAGTCCATCTTGGCTGAGAGGGGATACAATATCCGAGCAGACAGACTGAAATACTTCGGGGGGGGGGGGGGGGGCACGTTCCTAGTGCTAGTGGGAATGTGCACAAAAATGTAATTAATTACTATCATTATTTCATCAGTCCATGAGTCTGAATGAAATCGTAGCATTTCTCACAGGCAGATACACAATAAGCTGTTTGTCCTCTAAGGACAAATCTTATTTTAATCTCATTTTACTAACTACAGTATAATACAAATAGGTTGAACACAGAAGACTCGAAATCACGCTTCCGTCCAACTGTGCCAGCGGTCCCGTTTTTTTTTCTTTCTTTTCTTCTTTATCTTCGTAGGATATCCCTCAAACTGCCGAGGCCGGTCCTGACAAATAAGAGCTATATGTTTTATCATCATCATCATCATTATCCGTGTTGTACTGTAGTTTTATTCCTCTTCCAACAGCAAGAGTGATCAGTGGCCACAGTGATAGTCTTCTGTTGTATGTGTTCTCCGTCAGATTATGTATGTATTTGAAAGAATTATTACACATTGAATGGGCCAGTATGAATGAAACGTTGGTTATAATGTTAATTATTGTGAAACACTGAGAGCCTCCCCGAGGTGGTCTTTCATTCATCATCATCATCATCATCACCATCAACGTTATTAATATTATTTCTATCATTACTATTATTACAAAGGTATTGAGGTCACTGAAGCCTTGCTTACCATAAAGAATCTGCTCAAAAATAAAATTAATTATTACTTTCATCGGGTGCCAATCCTTTTTCAAGTCGATCAAGTAACAAGACGCCCGAAGCCCCACGCCCGCCCGGTCACTCACCCAGCAGGGTCCACTTGTACTCAAAAGCGTAGAGGGCGTAGAAGAGGGAGTAGTGCATCCACTCCAGGTACATAGCCAGCCAGGGCCAGGGGACCAGCAGCACAACCACACTAGCCTGGGGGACAGGGAGGCAAACAAAACTACTTTGAATCTGGAAATTTTTTTTTTTTTAAACAAATCAAACTTTCTCTTCTTTAACGTATTTTATAATATAGTGTAAAGTGCATTGAGCTTGCTGTCAAGCGGGGATATGCGCGACACAAATGCTATTTATTATTTTATTTATTATTGATAAAAGATGCTAATTCTCATGATAATAAATGATAAAATAAATAATATTAAATAATAATAACAGATGTGTGGCATTGTGAGAGAAAATCAGGCGCTCGTCAAAATCATGAAATCAAAGAAACCAGTTTTTTTTCTCCACCCATTGGGCAACTTTTCTCTATTTCTTTATTGAGCTCAACACCTTTTGTCCATCTAAAACCACATTTATGTGAGGATTTTACTGAAAAACATTGATCTAAGGCACAAAAAGGGTAAATCTATAGTTTCTAACGACACCCACACCCAAGCTGTGGAAGTCTCCAAACTTTGATGGTAATTTTCTCTCTAATTTTATATCCAAAACCAGGCAAACTGTATCTCCTTTAATTGCAAATATCTCCACTTTTATTCAGATAGATGGGAAGCATTTACCTGAACCAAAAAAACCATCTGATAGATACTGCTGAAGACAAACTCGCTGATGGCTGCCCCGATCGGAGTATACTTGGGTCGGCCATATTTGTACAAGAACACTTTGTCTGCAACTTCCTGAAATGTAAAAATTTGTCGCAAAGAGGTTTTCAATTCACAGAGGTCGAAATGCTTTGCAAAGGTTCACCTCTTTGTCATAAGTAAAATGTTACAATTCACTATGTGACAAAAGGTACAAATCATCGATACTGTTGGTAATATTAGTCTTTCCAACAAATCTCTAATCCCTCCCTCCTTCAAAAAAGCTTTATACAGAAAATACCCAAACTTGGAGGAAAATATTGGAAATACTTGGAGGAAAAAATTGGAAATACTGAGTAGTACTGAGAAGCATATTGACACAAAAGCAGTCAATTTGAAAATGCCACTGGTATGTTCTTTTTTTAGTATAAGTTTTACAGCACTTGTAACACAAAGAGGACATACAAGTTACTAGAGGGTACCATACAAGAAAAAGGAGGAGGAGAGATCGACTGATTAGTGTACGGCATCACCAAACACCACTTTGAAAAATGACTCAGGACAGAGTCTTATTGAACGGGGCGCCAATTGGCATGATCTGTTCAGTTCAGTTCGGTTCAGTTTGGTAGGCACGGCTAGCCAGATTGAGGGTGCAAAGCGACCATCGTGATACAAACCAATTGTCCGACTAGCAGCCTCAAAATCAAACTTTTTTTTTTCAGGCCACAAATTGGGCGATCAGTTGGCGATAGATTTATCAATCCCCCGATGGGCACTGGGTATTGCACGGTACAGCCCAGATAAAGACTATCGATGTTTGATAGGAAAGAAGGAGCATACCACAACAGAACACCCGCCATCCACCCATCTACTTCTTTGTTCATATCCATAGATCCCACACACTACACACTGTACG